TGTTATCGTTCTTATTTATTTAAATGTTTTTAATTTTTAAGTTTGTTTTCTTGAGAAGGAATTGCGGTGTCTCTTTTGTATTTAGTTCCGAAGATGACGGCTCCACAAACATCTGTGTTTGCTGGTTATGCTGGTTAAAATGTATTGATATTTTGGTATTCCATACAACTTCGAGTTAGTTTTAGCTTTTTAGGAACCCCAATTCGCGTTATCAGGTACAATTTATCCGTTAACGTAAGTTTTAGTTTTTGGGAACAAAATGCATAACAGCATAGTGTGAGATTTCAGATCCGTAGCAATTTTAATTTTATGAAAACTGATCGAAATATTAAAGACTTTTTTTCAAAGACATGCTTATGTTACTTGATCATGCTTGCTACATATTTTACTTTTTAAAAACTGTCTATTTGGATACTGTCATTTTCCATTCAGATAAAATGTCTCCACACACAATGTTATTACCATTCTCATAGCATAACATTGGTTTGAAAAGTCGTTCTGAAATCTGCAGAATGTGTAGTCTTCTTCAGTCAATCCCCACCAATTCACTATAAATACTTTATACCTCCTTTTCACCCACTACAAATCGTTTGTGTCGACCAAATACGATATTTTTCGTTCGAACCTCGTATTTAATATTCAATCATATTATGGAAAGCACAATGTGTACCTATAATATGATAAATTCTATTCTATTTTATAATATATACGCGTAAATATTCTACCACCAGTGCACCATATATACTGTACAGTAGATAAGAATATAAAATATCGAGCGTCTTTTTCCCTAGGGGACATGGATTACTTTCATATACCACTGACTACCATGGTCTTGGCTTTCGAAGAAATGAGCAGGGCGAAAAGCAACGGCGGCGGTGTTTTTATGCTCCGAGACGAGCGTATGTCTCGTCGTCTGACTTTACGGCGGCAATCTCTCGGGAATATTTTCACGATAGACTTACCGGGCTGACGGGGGCGGTGGCTCGTTCAAAATGTTTTTATTATGTGTTTCTGTCGGAGAGACGGTTTGTTTATCCTCGGAAACGAATGCTTCGAAGACGGCGAGAGAGAGAGAAGAGTTCGTATGAGGAGGTTAAAACAACTTTGTCGAAAACAGCTATTATTTTATTGGATTTCGCATATGCACAAACACGCACACACACATCGAGTTTTCGATCAGTTTCTCACTACACATCGTTTCGGAGACAAGGCGGGGACGTTTTGACGACTACGCTAAGTCTAGAGAAGCTGAAAAATATAATAGGAGACCAAAAAGAAATTCAAAAATATACACAAGATGGATTTATGATGTAGCTCTTATATTTTCGATAAACACACGTCTGAGATACTATGGCGTTATTTAGTGATGTTTGGTTATGCATTTTATTGTTTTCCCATTTTTTTTTTTATTTTACCTGTTGTGTGTTCTAGTTTTGTTCTAAAGTAGGTACTTAATAAGTATACGTATAATATTTACCTCAAGTTAGAGGGTATCCACACTGGTGGGCCTCCCTCGTCACGCTATTCATGTTTTTACCTTCTTTGTTATCAAATTTACTTATTGTTTTATATAAATATTACAGATTGTAAATACTTATTTTTATCTAAAAAAAAAAAAAAAAAAGAATAATATAGGTACTGTCTTAAGTTTTGTCGCTGGAAATATTTTAAATGTTACAAAATTATTAACATTTTATAATAAGAGGCCCTTTAGTTATATAGCATGATTTTTCATTAATTATGTTTAGGAATTTTTTAATTATTCAATTATTTTATTCAGGTAGGTAGGTATGTATTATAAATTATAATATATATTATATACATAGAAAATATTTTTTGTTGTCATGTTTAATCTTGTTTATAGGTATAAACATTAAAACATATAGGTACGTAATTTATTTAAGATTTTTAATTTAGTAAGACTCATATACTACCTATATTATAGTATTTAGCATGCCTGGGAAAGTTAATGATAATTTTTAATTGAGTTCAGTTAAGTTGATAGAAAATATTTTTAAAAATTATCCTAGTTATTTTATTAACTCAGTTAAGTTGATAGTTATATGGAAACTTAAAATGACCTTATTAATTTAAGTTAAGTTATTTATTTTTATTTATAATTAGCTAGTAATAATAATAAATAATAATTGAATTATATTTATTATTTCATTATTTATAAACTATCGTAACTTGGATTTGATTAAAAGTAACTTTTAATTTATTAAGTTTATATCAATAAAAATCAGTTAAGTTAAAATTTTTAAATTTGAAGTTAATGAAAGTTAAATTTCGAAAAGTTAAGTTAAAAGATTAAAATTAACTTTACTTTAACTTTTTGACTCGTTTATGTCTAGGTATTTATAGTAGTACCTAGGTAGGTAGGTATATACAAATTGTGTTTCGTTAAATTTAATATTGTAGAAGTATGATCGATAGATAAATCATTTTACATAAGTTCATACTACACATACGAACTTTAAAGTTATGATAAGTTTAAATTTTGAACAGTGTACATAGATGTCAAAAATATAGGTTATTATTTATTGATTAACTGCACCCACATTTAATTATGGCTGTTTGATAACATTATGACTATAGGAAACCATATTAGATGAATTAGAAAAATATACTGATCAAAGTTAAAATAGGTATTCTAAAGACGCTTCTCTACATTATTCTTTCTTATAATACATTTTTTTTTATTGCAATTTAGTCCTGGTACCTGGTACCTATATTATCTGCAAATAGTCGGACGCACGAGCCGTCGAAAGCACCGTTTTAATCGCCGCCGTTCGTTTATAGATTGCGCCCGTTTTATGCGTGTACGACAAACTGGCCATTATTGATGTCAAACTGTACAATGTTATTATAACTTATTCGTGGAGATATTTTAATGAAACGTCTGTTTCGCGAAACTGAATAAATAAAGAGAAATAAAACGTCTCCCCATGAACGACAACGCTCTGCAGCACGATAAGGTATGGCGAGTGAAAAAAAAATAAGAAAATAAGAAGCTGGATGTTAATGTTATTCAGTTTTATATAAATGGCACTAGCGCTACGCCACCGCCGCCGGCGGGCGACCGTGTAGTTTCAAATTGAACACGGTGGAAATGAACCGAGAAATCGGCAAATGAGTTTTGTCGCACAAACAGATTTGACGTTATAGCTATATATATTGTATAGCTGCAGCATTAGCTGTCCTGCTCTTTTTTCTGCACCGCCTTCTGTTTGTCGTCTCTGTAGGGTTTTCTCGGGAAAATATACATCCGGAAGCGCAGGCGACGGAGGAAAATGTTTTATATTGCATCATTACGGCCGCTCCGAAACTGCAGTACACTAGTCGGCTGCGATGGCGAGAGAAAAACGCGCTAACCGAAACCGTGAAAAACACCATTTTATATAATTTATGATTATTGAATAGGTATATTTTTATTATATTGTTTTCTTCTAATCGAAATAATAAATTGAAAAAATATTGTAAACCGTAACTGGCACACGTTTGTGGATACGTCTCGATTAATTAATATAATATGATATTATTGCATTCACTGACTTAATAATATTTCCATTTTAAAATGGTCGATAAAAATTATTACACAATATATTTTTTTTATTACTATCTAACTAGAATTTGTCTGTTTTAAATATTTTGGAGTGCAATGAAGCGAGTGAAGACAGTTCAATAATTTATTTTCATATAACAGTATTATTAACATTATGCTGATCAGGATGTTAAATTGTTTGGATTGCATAATTAAAATTAATTTATTTTCTATACTTTTACCGAGAGACAACAATTTAAAGTATAGAGTACTTGTGGTGGGCGTCAAAAGTAGAAAGTTCCTAATACCTAATTTTTAAAATGAGTGGTAAAATAAATCCAGGAAATGGAAATATTTACGCAACACCAATTTTTTACTATAAGTCGATATGGTTTTTGTTGTAATACTCAAAAAATAATAACATGGAATAACCACAGAGACTTGAAATTTTCACCAAATGTTTAGCTTAATTTTATGCTACATTATATTACACTTTCGTTGCCCTATTGGCTTACCAAAAAAATATATTATAATAATTGTTATAATTATTGTATAACATAATATTATGTATGTGATATATTTGACAAAAATTAGTTCAGCCTACCATATTTTATACCACATTACTAATAAAAAACAAATAAATTATAAAATATCCTTAGACATAGAGGTTGACACACTCCGCCTATAATCGTTTTTGGTATTTAATAATTTATATATTATTATAATATAATTTAATTCAAGTTCAACACATCCATTATTACAGCATAGCTACTTCTTCTGTTTATATTTATGTTTATTGAAGTTTTGCATGTATAGTAATAACTAATAATATATAGTTTTCAGAATTACGGAAACAGGATAATTTAATAATTTATTGCTTTTCATATAAATTGTGATTTAAATTATTTCTCGAAATAATAATAATAGTAAAAAAAGGACTCTGTAGTAAAAATTGTAAATCTTTTCATTGTGGAAGCCACCTGCGTCGTCTCATGCCTAATGGGAAATACATATTATATTATACAACCATTTGTATAGTTCTACTCTCGAGCTTTTTATTGTACAAAAATGCTCTATGACGATTGACATTTTTTATAGAGACCATAGAAACTTTATTGTCATCACAATGCCCGTACACTGAGAAGACAATTTTCAAAAAAAAAAAAAAAAAATGAAAATACACGTAGAATAAACGACAGTAAATATTATTATTCGTCCGTGTGTACCAATAAAACGTCTGATGCGGATGGTATTTTATCGTTTAAATGCATAAATTTAAGGTAATGCGCGTACGTAAAGCGCATATAGCTGGTTTATGATTTCGTCGCGTTTCTTATACTGCGTCAAAACATAATAAAAGTTTTTGGTTTTAAAACGATTGCATCTGTTGTCCGACAACGACGGAGACGGCGGAAATTCGATAAAATTCCCGGTCGTCCCGTTTTCCACTTTATTCTTATGGTAGCGGAAAACCACCTCCGACGCCGCCGCCACCACCACCACCACCACCACCACCATCCCCGTTGAAAACAAAATAGCCTTTGTGAAAAGAGATAGGAGAAAAAACATTTACACATCGGGTCGAGCGAATAAAACGAATCATCAGCGGATGGCGGTCTGTACGCGCTGGAGAAAATGCATCCTTGGGGACGATTTCCTCGGTCGGACGACCGGTCGCTTCGTCGGCTGAGGTCATAATATAACGAGCATAAATATAGACATGACGGCGATAGCTTGGTCGTTGGCGGTCAATGTAGTAGTTATTGTGTTTTTAAGCTCTCAACAGTAATTGACAGTACAATCGAAAACTGAACTCTGAAAGTTTACTGTTAAAAAATGAAATCAAAATAGCAGCTAGTGGTCAATTCCATTCTCATTTTTCATCGGCGTGGGTCGCAAAACATGTCAGAAACCCCTACTTTACCGTACTTTGGTGGGTTGCGTGGGATTTGCGGTCAGTGGACAAGGGAAGGTTGCAGAGATGGCTAAAAATTAGTGGAAATGAGCAAGCGGTGGAATGAATTGTCATAATATTGTTTTGCAAAGTTACATAATACTTAAATACATGCGTTGTTCACAGTAATGTTGTAAAATAATGTCAGCTCAGTATTTTTAAAATTACTACCGGCTACCGCTGTTTAACCACAGTTTTTCATATCCAACATGTTCGCAAACCATTGACATTTGAAATTATATTTCACTTTAGTTATATTACCTATTAAAATATATACCAACCAAAATGTGATAGGTAATTTAAAAATGTTATTCCAAATTTAAATTAATCGATGAATTAAAAGTGGTTAGCAATATACGAACATTACCAGTCAAAGGAGGATTTATCGATTATTCCGAAACATCCTATTTTGAAAAAGGCATTTGTATTATAAACTCATATTGTAATTTGTAACTCTATTGTTCATATTATCTAGTATCTTCTTATCGATTTCACCGAGTCTTAAATGTACCTATATTATACAAATGATAGAAACCATCTGTACGTTTTAGACTGAATTTATTTTATATTTTATGCACCTATTGACTTTTTTTTTAAAAAAATTATCAATTTATAATCCAAGTAATAATGCTAAATGTATTAATGTATGTAACTAATATTATGTATTAGATACTATAATGATTCATATGATATAGGTACAAAGGTATGTTATACAACGAATTTAAAAATCAAATTAATAGGTATTTAAAATATATAGCCATATAGGTATTAATATTATCTTACAAATTATATATAAATATTAAATATATTATTAAATATCATGGTTTACAAGATTACCATAATAGGTTAGTATATTATCCAACAAAACAAAAGTACCTATAACCTATTAGACTTTTAAAGTTTACAATTTTAAATATTAAATTCTAGGCGTGGTGCAACAGCTGGTGAAGTCGATACATAAACGGTGGAATCGTTATACGCCCAATCAAATAAACGCTGGGAGTAGGTTCCTACCAGTAATATTGTTTGTTTCAAATTATTTTATTCATTTTAAACTGAATAATTACATGTATAATTTATTATCGTACCTATGACCTATCTAATTAAATGCTAAAATGCGTCAGGCGTGTGATTCGGGCACAGTAAAATAACCAAATAGTTGGTCTTTATAGTTCATGTGATATTTTATTTCTCGTTTGTATAGATAGTTGATTTAATGATCGGTATTTGATGAATTACTTCACTTTCAGTACTCCCACTCGCCCATAATACAACTGCCGGATGCATTTACGACTTCAGAATTTCGGTGTAATGGAACAGTAGATTTCCACTACACCAAACACGCGGCTAGCGATAAAGAATCTTCGCAAAACAAATCGCGTGCGCGTTAAATATCCAATTATTAAAATACTTTCAGACTTTGGTCTATCGCCCTTCGCTTATCGAAACACCGGTAAGTTGGTTTTGAAAATACATAATTGCACCCACCCTGTGACTTGCCTTTATGCATGCCCATGTCACATCTATTCGAGTGATGTTTTCGATTGTGAAGCAAACATCGACGGCGGTGCCAATCATGAGTGTAGTATTATTATAAAACCGTCAAAATAATAAGACCTAGAAGGGGCGATAACCGTTTGTTACTAATAATAACCATTATAATATATTTTATTTTGTACTCTCGCGTACCATAGTAATGAGGTATTTGAAATGTCATTTTTAAAAGTGCACGTCAGCTGCAACGATCGATAGGTACTGTGACATTATGACATTGCGTCATTTCGAACGGAATTATTTAAATATTATTTTTTCTTTAATAAAAAACAATTAAAATCAAATATTGAGCGTTCCTTAATAATTGTTTAAAAACACTCTGGTTATTTCGGTACACTGGGCAAAAATATTTTCCTCGAATATGTAGTATACAAATTATAGAATAAAATATAATATTATGTAAGTATAAAAGTAGTACGGAACCAGCCAAAAACTAAAATAAAAATGTGGTTATTATTTATTATTGTTATGTTTTATGCACACAACCGGTCAGTAACGTTGCCTAACGTTATCAAATTCCTTGTCACAGGAAGAATAAGAATAAGTTAAAAATTCTAAAACAAGTTGACTGCCCAATTTTTTAGCAGGAGTTGCCAATGCTGCAAATATATCAAAACTATAAACCACGAATACCTATACGAGTACTAAAGTACTTATCTTAAGCACGGATATGAGTCGTATGTGCATCACATGTTCGTGTCACACGTTTGTCGTCCATCTGATTTGACATTTTTCATATACCTAAGTCACCGACTTTACGGTGTGTGTGGGGCAAATGATACGTCGTTTTTCAATCTTTTATGTGGGTTTATGTGAGTGTGGTTCATACTTTGAGGGAGGGGAAACAATTTTGGTTAAATCGTGTGACACGCAAAAATGGCACAAACCCGCTTTTTCATTAAATATATTGTTGTAATATCGTGTTGCTATTGTAAGGCACGACAGACAAATCGCCGACGTTTAGTTTCTTCAAACTTCACCGAGTATAAATAACAAATTTTTTTCGTGTAAAATATATCATATCCATTCTAAATCATATTTTACGTACTCTTTATTTTTTCATTTTCTCAAACGTAGCGCAGTCGAGCAATTTGTTAACAATAATGTACAATCCGGCCAATTCATATTCCAGTAGCTTTTTAAAAAAAAAAACCTTTTTTTTATTTTTATTTATACATACTTCTAAGGTTATTGAGATTTCTGAAATACATTCAAATTTAAAGATTTATACAAAACATTTTAAGTACGATACATGAAAGGCTTAAGTTATTTTGATAACATGGGATATAATCTATGTGTATATTATTATATTATGTATTCTGAATCAGGTTCTCACTTTGAGGAGTTGAAGAAGAATGGATGTCATCTGTGGGTTGGGTAGTATTTTACATAGATTCTAGTGGAGAATCAGTCTATCTTAGGAGTCCTTCGTCAGGAGGCAAACGGTTAGCAGGTGTTTAACTGTAGTTCTGCAAGTGTTGCATAAGGAGCATTTGCGTTGTTCATTTTTGTTCATTAGATGTTTGTGAATGTATAAAGTGTGCCAATTCTCAATCAAAACTAATATTTGTCTGACATATATTATACATAATATATTATTTATATTCATATTTAAGTACAACGAATAAAAATCATTTATTTTTTTTATTAGGTATATGAATAATAAACAATAACGTACCTACATTCTAAATCCGTTTATATAATTAATATTTTATACAAACCACAAAAAATGATTACTGTTGTTATACTATAATACGTCTTGATTTGTTAAAAAGAGAATTTGGTTTTGATTTTGAAAATGCTACGTAAAGATATATTTTATGGACATTGTTCATTGGAATTGGAGTGACGTGAACATTTGTAACACTGACTTAGATAAAACTGAAAGATAATATTTCTGTCAAAACCATAATTTGGACCTTTGAAATCACTAATAGTGTAATAAATAATTTAAGTATAAATTACTGAAGGACATAGATTTATGGTGTTAGTTATTTCTGACGTTGCGTTGTTGAAATGATATTGGCTTTAACCATATGCCAGCATAACAACTGAAACATCATTAAATAATTTTAATAAATATGTATTGTTTTTGGTTGTTTATGTATAAGTATAATATGAAAAGAATAGCAAAAATATGATATACACCATATCAAATCGCAAATAAATCGAATAATTTTATTTTATCTAGATGTTTTGACTGTTTGACTCTTGAGCTTATTTACAGTATGACTCACAATGAAATTTTCTTAATAACTATAATATTATAATATAAGTACTTGCTAGATATTATAATATTATATTAATACAAACATGGAAAATGTCAGTTTATAAGAATCTACCAGACCAAAATGTTATGATTAAAAATTAACATTAAACGCGTTTAGACAATTTATTATTGCGTCATGTTATTTTTCCTGGAATACGCCATTTGGAAAATACGAAATAGGTAGGTACTGGCGTCGGACACGGTCCGTATAGCAATAATATGACGCGTGGGCGCTTAGGAATAATAATAATAAAAAAAAAAAACCGACGTGGTTTAAATCTAATTTCAACTTTACGTAGAAACCTTTTATTTCCCCCCGTTGCGCGTTTTCTCGTTTACCACGCCACTTTATTCCGCCACACGCCAAAATTGTTTACTTTTTCCAATAATATTATAACGGCGTTGGCGGCGTCGGTGAAGGAGCGTTGGGTTGTCAGAAAAAAAAATCAACGGATATCGCTGTGGACAGGTGTAGATTAGAAATACGTGTTCGGGTGGTTTCCTAGCCGAGGCGCGCTCAGCCGGGCCCGGTCCCGAATTGACGTTTTGATGGATTAGAGTCCGGCGGCCCCGAGACCTCTCCCGAAGTACGAGTGGCGGAGTCAGACCGGTCAGCCGGATTTAAACACACACACATACAATATATACAGGGTTCAACAATCAATACGCCTGGGCTGATGTATATATGTATATAAAATAATATTATATATATAATATACCTATGTATATATGCACACACATATATATATTAGGGCCAGGGGAGTTAAACCAAACGATCGTTATACGCCATCGCCTCTTGCCTCACCCAACGACCCCTGTCTCACCCCCAACCTGCCCAACACTACTGCACTATCATTTCTCTCTCTTAAATCGACGTTACGGCGTGCGAGCGGATAGAGCAGCCCCGCGTAGTCAATTT